TTTTCATTCTTTTGGTTTTGTTTTATTATTTCTTTATTTCTCATAAAGTCATTAGCTTCTGTTTGCTTAATTCTAATTTTTTTTTTTAGGCAGTTGGGGTTCAGTGATTTGCCCAGCGTCACACAGCTAGTAAGTGTCAAGTGTCTGGTCTGAGATTGGATTTGAACTCGGGTCCTCCTGACTCCAGGGCCAGTGCTTTATCCACCTACTTGCCCCTATTCAGTTCTAATTTTTAAGAAAATATTTTCTTCAGTGAGCTTTTGTATTTCCTTTTCCATTTGGCCAATTCTACTTTTTAAGTAGTTTTCTTCAATGAATTTTTGTGCATCTTTTTCCATTTGGCCAGTTTTGCTTTTTAAGGCATTCTTCTCCTCATTTGCTTTTTGTATCTCTTTTACCATTTGGCCTAAACTGTTTTTTAAGGTGTTATTTTGTTCATTATTTTTTTGTTTCTCATTTATGAAGCTCTTGACCCATTTTTCATGATTTTCTTGCATCAGTCTCATTTCTCTTCCCAGTTTTTCCTCTGCCTCTCTTACTTGATTTTCAAAATCCTTCTTGAGCTCTTCCATGGCCTGAGACCAATTCATATTTTTCTTTGAGGCTTTGGATGTAGGAGCTTTGACTTTGTTATCTTCTTCTGAGTGTGTGTTTTGTTTTTCCTCATCACCATAGTAACTTTCCATGGTCAGAATTTTTTTCTGTTGTTTGTTCATTTTTCCAGCCGATTTTATGATTTTTAACTCTTTGTTAAAGTAGGGCTCTGCTTCCAGTGTGGAGGTGTACTGTTCCAAGCTTCAGAGGTTTTGTGCAGCTGTTTTCAGAGATACTTCTAGGGACCTGTAAGTTTTCAGTTCTTCCAAGGTGGTATGATCTAAGGAGAGTCATGTGTACTCCTTTTCTGGCCTGTGCATGGCCACAAGTACTCTTTTCTGCCCTAGAACTATGACAAGGATACCCGCTCCACTACAAAATTCTCCCCTCTTCTCTCCCCCAGCCCTTGTCCCCCAAGCTCTGGTGTGTTAGTGCCCCTCCTCCCCTGGGACTGTCACCCAGGACTGGGACCTGGATCTGAGTGTGGGCAAAGCAACAGAGTTCTGTCTCAGTGCTAATAAAGAGACCCCTGCAATCTCTTTCTGACCAGTTGTTCAACCCCCTTACCGTCTGTGAGGTAAGAGCTCTGGAAGCAGCTGCTGCCGCTGTTGATTCAGTGGCTTCCAAGGAGTGCTTCTGGTTTTCTGGGTCTGTGTCTGTGCTAGACTGTGTTCCACTCTCACACAGGTGTGACAGACCTTTTGCACCTTCTGACCCTCTGTGTTGTCTTTGGTTGGAAAATTATTTCACCTGTCCTTTTGTAGGTTCTGCTGCTCTAGGAATTATTTCATGGTATTACGTTTCATGGTGTTTGGAGGGGTTTGGAGAAGAGCTCAGGTGAGTTTGCTGCCTTTTCTCCACCATCTTGGCTCTGCTGTGAAGGACTTTGAATGTAAAACAAAGCATTTTGTACTAGCTCCTAGAAACTTTAGGGAGTCACCAGAGTTTATTGAGTAGGAGCTAAGAAAGTAATTAGAGTTCTTTTTTTGGGGGGGGGTTGAGGCAGTCGGTGTTAAGTGACTTGCCTAAGGTCACACAGCTAGTAAGTGTCAAGTGTGTGAGGCCAAATTTGAACTCAGGGAGCAGCTAGGTGGCGCAGCTGATAGAACACCGGCCCTGAAATCAGGAGGACCTGAGTTCAAATCTGGCGTGAGACCAAACACTTGACACTTACTAGCTGTGTGACCCTGGCAAGTCACTTAACTCCAATTGCCTTAAAAAAAAATACCAGATTTGAAATCAGGTCCTACTGACTCCCAGGCTGGAGCTCTATCTACTGTGCCACCTAGCTGCTCCTAATTGGAGTTCTTCAGGGACCGTCAGTAACCTTGCAAGGACAAGTGAAATTTACCTAGAAGAGGGTGAAATTCTACAAGATGTTATTGGAAAGCTGAGAGAAACCTGTGCTAATTGCTGAATACTAACAGCACTCCTGGTACTGCAGAGTACGTAGGCTAGATGTACCCTTTGTCCCTGACTGCATCAGCACAAAGCGAATACAAATTCAGCAAAAGTAATGTGTTCAAAAGATTGCTAACCAGGCAGACAAATGGACCATTCTGTTGTCATGTTAACCTTTTTGGCTGGGTGGTGCAGTGGAAAGTTCCTGGATTTGGAGTCAGAAAACTTAGGTTCAAATCCTTCTATTTAGCTAAGTTTCCATCCTCAGCATTATCCTTCTTCACTCCTTGCTCTCTCCCACTTTGTATGTCCTACTAGTTGCCAAGTGTTGTTAATTCTGCCTTTATGATACCTTTTACATTTATCCCCATCTCTCCATTTCCATAGCCACTATTCTAGATTAGGCCTTATACTACTGTAATAGTTTCTTTTTTTAAAAAAAATTTTATTACTATCTTTTTTTAAAAATCACCTATGTTTCTCCTAATTTCTCTCCCTCTCCCAGAGAACTATCGCATGTAACAAAGAATATTTTTAAAGGAGAAGAGGAAAATTGATTGATCAGTACATTGAAAAAGTCTGAAAACACATGCATTGTTCCATGCCCATGGACCTTCCACCTCTGTAAGAGCGTGGGAAAGGGAGGTGTTGCCTCATTCCTTCTTTGGGGGGCGTGCTTGTTCTTTGTAATTCTGCAACATTCACTTAAAAAAAAACACTTTTAATTGATATCCTTTGATTTTTTGCAACTCCAGGATTTCTGCTGCTATCTCTCTCCCTCCACCTCCCAGAATCATCCATATAACTTTTTTTTTGTTTAAAGAAAAAGAGGTGGAAGGGAAAATAATCAGGAAAACTGATCAACACATCGAAACAGTCTGACGATATATGCAGTTTTCATACCCATGGAACTTCTGCAAAGGAGTAGAGTTGGGTGTTTTCTTATATAGTATCTTCTTTGGAGCCAGGCTTGTTCCTTACTATTTTACAATATTCACTTTTTATTGTTTTATGGTCATTCTTTCCATTTACATTGCTGTCATCGTATATATAATTTTCTTGTCGCCTTTTCTTCGTAAAACTTCATTTAAGTCTTTGTGTGTTTCTTGGTATTCATGATGTTTATCATTTCTTAGAACACCATAATAATCCATTACATTCACATACCACCCTTTGTTTATCCATTGCTCAATCAATGGGCATTTGCTTTGTTAACATCTAGTTCCTCTGCAACAGCTTTCTGTTTTGTCTCCCTGTCTCCAGTCTCTACCTTCTCTAATCTGTACCAGATCAACATCCCTGTAGCACAGATCAGAAAGTGCTACTTCCCTGCTCAGGACACTTCTCCAGGATCAAATGCAAACCACTCTGACATCTAAAGCCCCTCCCAATCTCACTCTTTCTAGACTTCTTCAGGTACTCTGTAAACTAACCTCCTTGTTTTTCACAGGACACGTTTTATCTCACGCCTTGATACCTTGGCCCAAGCTGTCCCCCGTTCCTGGAATGTACTCCCGCTTCCCCTTCCCCTTCAAGTCTCTAGCCCCCTACAAAGATCCAGTCAAGAGCCACTCCCACATCTTCCCCCAGCTCTTAGTGTCTCCTCTCACCAAAAACAAAACAAAGCCCTAATATTAATTAATTAATACTTAATAAGTGTACATGTTGTTACCTCCGCCCTTCCCTCCAGTCAGGTGTAAGCTCTTTGAGAGCAGGGCCTGTTTTATTTTTAATCTTTGTATCTCTGCCACCTAACACATTGTCTGGTATATAGGTGCTGAATAAATGTTTGTTCCACTGAAATCCTGGATGCGCTATTTATGAGCTGTGTGATCCTGAGTAATTTTGTCCTCAGCCTCAGTTTCCTTATTTCTATAAAGAGGGGGTTGTACTAGAGTAGATCTCTAAGATCCCTCCTTTTAACTCCAAATCCTACCTTAGCTTAGAAGATGGCTTAAGAGCCTTCCTCATATTTTACCCTCTGCTGCCATCAAGTGGCTGTTCAGAGTAACAAACTTTAAAAACTGGACTCTTCCTGCTGCTTAAAGACCAAGTCATTACAGACAGCTTCTTGACCGTAGACCCAAAAGTAGTTTGTTTCAGAGGTTAAAATATGGAGTTCATAGGATCATGAAATTTGGTTTCTTTGAGGTCATATAGGTCAGTCCCTTCATTTTTCAAAGTAAACTGAGGTTTAGAGAGATTAAGTGACTTGCCCAGAGACACAGAGCTGGTAAATGCCAGAAGCAAGATTTGAACTCAGGTCTCCTAGCTACAGTTCCAGCGTTCTATACATTCTATGCTATATTGCCATCTTTACTTTTTAATGAATATAAACCAACTAAAATGAGCATTTTCACGTATACAGTAGGGCAAGAAAAGAAGGATTGTACATGAAACTTTGAATCTCTGTCATGTACAGCTTGCTTATATATGAGCTTACATAGCTCGTATCATAAACTCAGCATTTAACTTTCAAAGTAGTCCTGCTTGTCTTTGATTCCTTTTCTTCTCTTCTATGAATTATAAAAAATACTTCATTGTCCCTTTTTAATTTTTTTAAAGCCCTATCCCTAGTCCCTTCTTTCTACCCCTTCCCTCTCAAAGAAAAAAGAAAAGAAAACAAAAACAAAATCATTATAACAAATATGCATAGTCAAGCAAACAAATTTCTCATATTGTTGGTATCCAAAACTCTCTCATTCTGTGTCTTGTTTTTGAGTACTTGAAAGGCTGTCATAGATAATGAGTAGACTTTTTTTTTGCTTGGCTCCCAAAGCAAAAGTTTGGAGTCCAAATTTGAATACATGGAATTTTTGTCTTGGAGCACCTTTGTCTAGGATATTGTCTCAAATGGCAAGCAGAGTTTAGTAGCTGAGGCTCATTTAACTTTTTCCTCCTCAACAGTTAAGTGATCTGCATAGAAAGCAGAAAGTAGACTGTCTTCTCTGTGTACTTAGTGTTATACTGGAGTGATCATTATATCCTGGCTTTCTCTGTTGCAGGTGAATATAAAAGGCAAAGCTAGCCCTGTTTCACTCCTACAAATGGCATCCCTAACAGGCCGCTGCATCTTACTTCGTCTTCCTAAGCTGATCTCTGGTAAAGCAGCACTCCCCCAAACCTTATTGGATATATTGGAAGACAGAAGAATCTTAAAGGTTGGCGTTGGGTGTCGGGAAGATGCCAGCAAGTTGCTTCAGGACTATGATCTCACTGTTAGAGGGTGTCTTGACCTCCGAAATCTAGCAGTGAAACAGAGGTATATGTACTTGTGTTTGCTGCTATTCCTGTGTATAGTCAGGGGGACAGGTGTATAAGCAGAAGCAATGGTATTTTGAAGATGATTGCTGGAAGATCTGAAAATCTCTTTTTTAAAATTAATTAATTTTTAATTTTCAGTGTTCACTTTCACAAGATTCCCAAATTTTCTCCCCCGTCTCCCCCCCACCCCAAGATGGTGTGTATTCTGAATACCTCTTCTCCCAATCTGCCCTCCCTTCTATCATCCTCCTCCCCTTCTCTTATCCCCTTCCCCTTCTATTTTCCTGTAAGGCAGAATAGAATTCTATACCCCATTTCTTGTATATCTTATTTTTCAGTTGCATGTAAAAACAGGTTTTAACATTAGTTTTTAAAACTTTGATTTCCAAATTCTCTCCCTTCCTCCCTCCCCACCCACCTTCATTGAGAAGGTAGGCAATTCGATACAGGTTATACATGTGTAGTCATGCAGAACACTTCCATAATAGTCATGTTATGAAAAACTAACTATATTTCCTTCCGTCCTATCCTGCCCCCCCCCCCATTTTTTCTATTCTCTCCTTTCAGAATAGAAATTCTCCTGTTTCCAGAATAGGAATATTCTATCTGTCCGTCCTCAAAAATGTTTGGTTCTGATTACCCCTTCCTCCAATCTGCCCTCCCCTCTATCATCCCCTTCCCCTTTTATCCCCTTTCCCCCTCTTTACCTAAGATAGATTTCCTTACCCAATTGCATGTATATGTTATTCCTTCCTTAAGTCATATCTGATGAGAGTAAGATTCACTCATTCCCTCTCACCTCCCCCCAGCTCCCTTCCACTGTAAAAGCTTTTGCTTGTCTGTTTTATGTGAGATAATTTACCCCTTTATAACCTCTTCCTTTCTCCTTTTCCCAGTATAATCCTCTCTCACCCCTTAATTTTATTTTTTAGATATCCGTTCATATTCAACTCACCCTGTGCTCTCTGTCTCCCTGTCTCTGTCTCCCTCTCTCTGTATATGTGTGTGTGTGTGTGTGTGTGTGTGTGTGTGTGTGTGTGTGTGTATTTCCCTCCAACTACCTTAATACTCAGAAAAGTCTCATGAGTTATAAATATCATCTTTCCATGTAGGAATGTAAACAGTTCACCTTTAATAGGTCCCTTATGATTTCTCTTTCTTGTTTACCTTTTCATGCTTCTCTTGAGTCTTGTATTTGAAAGTCAGATTTTCTATTCAGCTCTGGTCTTTTCATCAAGAATGCTTGAAAGTCCTCTATTTCATTGAATGTCCATTCTTTCCCCTGAAGGATTATACTCAGTTTTGCTGGATAGGTAATTCTTGATTTTAATCCTAGCTCATTTGACCTCCAGAATATCATATTCCAAGCCTCTCCGATCGCTTAATGTAGAAGCTGCTAAGTCTAGTGTTATCCTGATTGTGTTTCCACGATACTAGAATTGTTTCTTTCTGGCTCCTTATAATATTATTTTCTCTGGAAGCTCTGGAATTTGGCTATAATATTCCTAGGAGTTTTCCTTTGGGGATCTCTTTCAGGAGGAGATCAGTGGATTCTTTCAATTTCTATTTTGCCCTCTGGTTCTAGAATATTGGTGCAGCTTTCCTTGATAATTTCTTGAAAGATGATGGCTAGGCTCTTTTTTTGATCATGGCTTTCAGGTAGTCCAATAATTTTTAAATTCTCTCTCCTGGATCTATTTTCTAGGTAAGTTGTTTTTCTAGTGAGATATTTCACATTGTCTTCTATTTTTTCATTCTTTTGGTTTTGTTTTATAATTTCTTGATTTCTCATAGAGTTATTAGCTTCCATTTGCTCTGTTCTAATTTTTAAGGCATTATTTTCTTTAGTGAGCTTTTGCACCTCCTTTTCCATTTGGCCAATTCTGCTTTTTAAGGCATTCTTCTCCTTATTGGCTTTGTAGACCTCTTTTGCCATTTGGGTTAGTCTGTTTTTTAAGGTGTTATTTTCTTCAGTATTTTTTGGGGTCTTTAGCAAGCTGTTGACTTGTTTTTCATGATTTTCTTGTATTACTCTCATTTCTCTTCCCAATTTTTCCTCTACTTCTCTTACTTGCTTTTCAAAATCCTTTTTGAGCTCTCTTGTAGCCTGAGACCAATTCATATTTTTCTTGGAGGCTTTGGATGTGGGAGCTTTGACTTTGTTGTCTTCTTCTGGTTGTATATTTTGATCTTCTTTGTCATCAAAGTAAGATTCTCTAGTCTGAGTTTTTTTTTTTCACTGTTTGCTCATGTTCCCAGCCAGTTACTTGACTTTTAAACCCTTGTTAAGGTAGGGGTCTGCTTCCAGTGTGGAAGGTGTACTGTCCTAAGTTTGGGGGGTTTTGTGCAGCTGTTTTCAGAGATACTTGTAGGAACCTGTAAATTTTCAGTTCTTCCAAGGTGGTATGATCAAAGGCGAGGTGTTTACTCCTTTCCTGTCCTGTGCTCTGGTTTATGAATGGCTACAAGTGCTTTCTTCTGCCTTGGAACCATGGGGAGTATTCCCTCTGTACAACCACCACAAGCTTTGCCATGCCAGTGTTCCTCTTTGCCCCAGGACTGCCACCTAGGGCACTCACATCCAAGCATGGGCAAAGCAAGAGAATCCTTCCACAGCATCACCAAAGAGGCCCCTGCAATCCCCCTCTGATGGGCCACTTGATTTCCAGAAGCAGCCACCACTGTTGCACCGCTTGAGGCCTACTCCAGGTTTGCTAAGGCCAGGTCTTTGTCCGCTTGGCCCATTCCTCTCCCAGCCTGGTGCAACAGATCTTTCCCATCAACAATCCAGGTTGTCTTGGGCTGTCTTCTTATGAATTCTGCTGCTCTAGAATTTGTTTAGAGCCATTTTTAACAGATATTTGGTGGTATTTGGGGGGAAAGCTCAAGCAAGTCGCGGCTTTTACTCCACCATCTTGGCTCTACCCACCAACATCTGGAATTCTGTTTAATAGGAATTCTAGGAAGATTGGAAAGTTCTGGCCAGCATATGAGAATTTGAAAAGAAAGAAATATTCCGTCTTCCAGGAAAGCCTCAATTACCTTAGAAGTAACCCTACTTAATGAAGTGGTAGAGTGTCAGTTTAGTCCAGTTTAGTCAGTTTTTGCTAGAAAATCTTGGCCTTGATGTGGATAAAAAAAACTTTTTCCTTTCCATTGGAATTTCTTTTTCTTATAGAATTTCTGTTCCAGCTCTCTCTTTGATTTAATTTCTTCCTGGTCAATGGAAATATGGAAGCATGCCTGTCTTGATGGTAGCCAAGAGTTGGGCAACCAGCCTCTCCTGCACTGATTGTAACCAAGGAGGTTGGATTTAATTTACTAAATCAGTGCTTTCTTATTTTTACATAAATGTAAAATGTGAGATCCTGCATTTCAAATCTTATAATTTGGTTTGTGTGGTTGAAGCTCTTGTATTTTTGTATTAATTTTTAATCACTGAAGGATACCTTTTAATCTATATTGGATTCCACTCTGTTTTTCAAGTTAATTACATTTCTTTTTTTTTTAATATATAAATTTATTTATTTTTAGTTTTCAACATTTACTTCCACAAGATTTTGAGTTCCAAATTTTTACCCCATCTTGCCCCTCCCCCCACCCCAAGATGGCATACATTCTGAATACCTCTTCCCCTAGTCTGCCCTCTCTTCTATCTTTCCCCCTCTTCTCTTATCCCCTTCCCCTTCTGTTTTCCTGTAGGACAGGATAGATTTCTGTATCCCATTTCCTGTATTTCTTATTTCCCAATTGCATGTGAAAACATTTTTTTTAAACATGTGTTTTTAAAACTTTGGGTTCCAAATTTTCTCCCTTCCTCCCTCCCCACCCACCTCATTGAAAAGGCAAGCAACTCCATATAGGTTGTACATGTGCAGTTATACAAAACACTTCCATAGTAGACATGTTGTGAAATACTAACTCTATTTCCCCTAATCCTATCCTGCCCCCCATTTATTCTATTCTTTCTTTTGACCCTGTCCCTCTTCAGAAGTATTTGCTTCTGATTACACGCTTTCCCAATCTGCCGTCCTATGTATCATCCCCCTGCTCTCTTGTCCCCTTCCCCCCTATTTTCCCATAGGGTAAGACAGATTTCCATACCCCATTGAGTGTGTATGTTGTTGCCTCCTTAAGCCAAATCCTGTGAGAATAAGATTCACTCATTCCCTCTCACCTTCCTCCGTTTCCCCTCCACTGTAAGAACCTTTTCTTTTCTGTTTTTTTATAAGATAATTTACCCCATTCTACCTCTCCCTTTCTCCTCCTCCTAGTATAATCCTCTCTCACCCCTTAATTTTATTCTCTAGATATGACCCCTTCATCTTCAACTCACCCTGTGCCCTGTATCTACCTATCTACATATACAGACATATAATTTTTTTCCTCCAACTACCCTAATACTGACAAAGGTCTCATGAGTTATAAATATCTTTTCATGCAGGAATACAAACAGTTCAACCTTAATAAGTCTCATATGATTTCTCTTTCCTGTTTACCTCTTCATGTTCCACTTGAGTCTTGTATTTGAAAGTCAGATTTTCTATTTCAGCTCTGGTCTTTTCATCAAGAATGCTTGAAAGTCCTCTATTTCACTGAATGACCATTTTTCCCCCTGAAGGATTATACTCAGTTTTTCTGGGTAGGTGATTCTTGGTTGTAATCCCATCTCCTTTGTCCTCCTTGTCTCTTAATGTAGAAGCTGCTAAATCTTGTGTTATCCTGATTGTGTTTCCACAATACTTGAATTTTCTTTCTGGCTTCTTGTAATAGTTTCTCCTTGACCTGGGAACTCTGGAATTTGGCTACAATATTCCTAGGAGTTTTCCTTTGGGGATCTCTTTCAGGAGGAGATCGATGGATTCTTTCAATTTCTTTTTTGGCCTCTGGTTCTAAAATATCAGGGCAGTTTTCCTTGACAATTTCTTGAAAGATGATGTCTAAGCTCTTTTTTTGATCATGGCTTTCAGATAGTCCAATAATTTTTAAATTCTCTCTCTCCTGGATCATTTGTTTTTCCAATGAGATATTTCACATCGTTTTCTAATTTTTCTTTCTTTTGGATTTGTTTTACAGTGTCTTGATTTCTCATTAAGTAGCTGGCTTCCAAATGCTCTAATTTTTAAGCAAGTATTTTCTTCAGTAATCTTTTGGACTTCCTTTTCCATTTGGCCAATTTTGCTTTGTAGGGTATTCTCCTCATTGGCTTTTTGGACCTCTTTTGCCATTTGGGTTAGGCTATTTTTTAAGGTGTTATTTTCTTCAGTTTTTTTTGGGGTCTTCTTTAGCAAGCTGTTGACTTGTTTTTCATGATTTTCTTGCATCACTCTCATTTCTGTTCCCAGTTTTTCCTCTACTTCTCTTACTTGCTTCTCAGAATCTCTTTTATGCTCTTCCAAGGCCTCAGACTGATTCATATTTTTCTTGGAGGCTTTGGATGAAGGAGCTTTGGCTTTTTTGTCTTCTTCTGGTTGTATATTTTGATCTTCTTTGTCACCAAAGTAAGATAATATAGTCTGACTCTTTTTGCAACGTTTGCTCATGATTCTAGCTAGTTACTTGAGTTTTCAACTCTTTGTTAAGGTAAGAGGCTGCTTCCAATGTGGAGAGTATACTGTCCCAAGCTTCGGGGTTTGTGCAGCTGTTTTCAGAGATATTTCTAGGGACCTGTAAATTTTCAGTTCTTGCAAGGTGGTATGATAAGGGGCGAGGCGTTTACTCCTTTCCTGGCCTGTGCTCTGGTCTATGAGTGACCACAGGCAGTCTTTTCTGTCTTGCAACTGTGAGGAGAATTTCTGCTCCACCACACCGGCGCTCCTCCTTGCCCCAACACTGCCATCCAGAACTGTGACCCAGATCCAATCACGGGCAAAGCAAGAGATTCTTGCCTCAGCTCTGGCGAAGAGATCCCTGCAATCCCTCTCTGATCAGTCACTGGATTTCCCCTCAGTCTGTGGGCCAGAAGCTCAGGACACAGCCATCGCCCCAGGCCGCACTCACTTGGGAACTGATGCTGAGACCTAGCTCCTCTCTTGCCACGAGCGCTTGTGTCTGTGGCCGTGGTCTGATGCCGGCAGAGTATGAAGAGAGGAAGAATCAGAGGCCAGGGGGAAGATGTGAAGAACAAACTCCGTTTATTGATCTGAGGGCTCAGGCTTATAGAGTACTGGATCAAGCAATAGTAACATTGTTATTCACGAAAAGTACAAATCTAATTAGGTGATTTCCTCACTTCCTTGTACCTTGTGTGTTACTTTCTTTCCTGCGTCCTATCCTGTATCCCGTCCGTTTCCTCCCTTCCTGCATCCTGTTCTCAAGAGACGGAACAGGGGGGTGGTGAGCCGACATCCGGAGTTTCACAGCTGTTAGGCTTAGTACAAGCTACAGGTAAGACCCGGGCTGGCCTAAGCCCTCCAACTCCCCAGAGCCGGCCCTCTACACTCTCTCACCACAGAAACAGACTTCCCACTGACCTTCTAAGTTGTCTTTGGCATTTGTGGGTTGAGAAGTCTGAAATCACCACAGCTGCCAATGATTCAGTCCTCTGAGGGTTGCTCCAGGTTCGCTGCTGCCTGTGTGCCTACTCTGAGCTGAGCTCCTCTCCCTGCCCAGCGTGATACACCTTTCCAATCAACCATCCAGGTTGTCTTGAGCTGGAAATTTGCTTTACTCTGTCATTTTGTAGGTTCTGCTGCTTTAGAATTTGTTTAGAGCCATTTTTTTTTTTACAGGTATTTGGAGAGGTTTGGGGGAGAGCTCAAGCAAGTCACTGCTTTCACTCCACCATCTTGGCTGCGCCCTCCCCATGTCCAAGTTAGTTACATTTCATAAATTCATTTACTAACTGGAAGGCTAAATGGCTCTTTTTGTAATAGTTTTCTGCTACCACCAGCCTTATTTTGGATGTATTGTAGTGGGAAGTGGGGACAAATGATACTGACCCTATTTTTCCATAGCGAACTGCATATTAAGTTTCTGAGGGGATAATTTTTAAAATTTTTATAACTTTTGACTTTTTGTACATCACTTTCTCAAAAAATTTACTCTGAATTAAGATACGCAGAAAAGAGTGTCACAAAACATAAGAGGATTGTATACAAATCAAAAATCTTGATTTCATACTACTTGCTTTAAAAATTATGTAATAAATTCTGCGCATTACTTTCAAAACTGCCATGTTTCTGCTTCCTTTCGAACTTCCAGTTATTTTCTTCTGTGCATTTAAAAAATGTTTTAGTGGCCCTCTTTGGCTAACCCTCTCCATTAAAAATTGAGGTAAAAAAATCACCCTTGTAACAAATCAGCATAGTCAAAACAAATCCACACAGTGGCCATGTCAAGAGATATATGTCTCTTTGTGCACCTTGAGTCCGTTACCGGTGTCAGGAAGTGGTAACTCAGTTGTCGTAGGGTCCTCTGGAGACATAGTTGGTCATTACATTGATTGGCGTTCTTAAATCTTTCAGAATTGTTTTGCTTTACAGTGTTTTTATCATTATCTAAATTCTCCAGGTTTTGTTCACTTTGCTATGCATTAATTAGTACTACTCAGGATTCTCTGTTTTTGTCATTTCATATAGTGCAGTAATATTTTATTGTGTTCATATATGTCACCGTTTGTTCAACTACTCTCCAATTAGTGGGAATTCACTTGGATTCTAGTTCTTTTATTTCCCCAACCCCCTTTTTTGAGTGTTTCCTTCAGGACCAGGAAGTTTGTTTCACTTGTGGCTATTTACCCCCTCTCCCCCAATCTTCCTCCTTCTGAAATGCCCCCCTCCATGTCTCTGATTGTTTTGATGTTGAATTTGGTGTATTTCTACACTAAACCTCTCGTGTATAGTATCTCTTTGCTTGTAAAACTCTTTATTCAACCCCTCTTTGTCCATTTCAGGTAAGAGTGAGATTGCTCTCCTCACCTCTTCCTCCATGGTTTTTTTTTTTGTATACTCTTTTCTCATGCACTCCAATTAAGAGAAATAGCAAATTCAACCCCTTTCTTTGTGCTTTGTACACTAGAATATTTCTTTTACCTTCCCTTCCCTTTCCCCTCTTAAAACCCTCAGACCAGAACCAAACTCTTGACACTTAATGCTTTTCATAATTCCTTCATTATGTTTTGAAGACATTAAGATTCTAAAAGGACGCTTGTTTCTTCTCCTCCATTAGAATGTTAGCACTTCAGCATCATACAGCCTCCTGTAATTATTCAAAAAAGAAGAAGTTTTCGAAGCAGCACCGTTTTAATTTCAAAGGGCTAGAAACATTACAAGTCCAATAACAAGGGAATGGTTAAGTTGTATTATGTTAATGGAATGGAATGTACTGGAATGCCATTAAGACCTATCACTGTGAGGAATACAAAGATATCTAAAAACATGTTTATGAAATGATACAAAGTAAAAAGAAATCTACTAAGAACTGGGTAGATATTATGACCACATAATAGGAAAACATGAGTGAAAATGAACAGATAAACATAGAATCCTGTTGTGGACTTACTGAGAGTGACTGAAAAAATAGTATACTCCATGCTTTGAAATCAACATATTTAAATACAAATAAGTTTAGTTTGCATTCATGTTAAATCTTAAATTTTTAGCAAAAAAAAAATTTAATTTTTTTAAAAGATAAAAAATGAGAATTTACCCCAAACATCCCTTCTTTTAATTATCCATTATGGATCTGATATTCATCCACTTATCTAAATCTTTTCTGAACCTGTTTCTTTTATCCTGTACTACTCTTGAGGTAATGTGTCCCAGAAGCATATTACCTTTCATTCTCAGCTAATTTCATTTTCTAAAGTACCTGAAATTGAAGGGCAGCCAGGTAAGTACTTTAGAGAGTACTGTGCTTTATAGCAGTCTTATTAACTTACCTTTAAACTTTCAGTTTTCGGTCCTACAACTCAAGGGCTTTGTCCAGGAAACTGAGAGATCAGCTGTAGTTACTTCGAGTTGGAACCATTAGCACATTGACCTCTAGACAGGAGATTGATGATTGGAGCTTCACGTTGTGGAAATTCTATTCAGAAGATCTTCAGGAAACATGAAGAGACCAGGTGGCACTTTTATTTGCTGCTGGGTGCTTGGTCCCTGGTTTTTATTTACTTCATCTCTTTCAGGAGAGATTTACTTCAGAATGGGCTTAGCCTGAAGTCCCTTGCTGAAACCATACTCAACTTTCCCCTCAACAAGTCTCTTCTTCTTCGTTGCAGTAATTGGGATGCTGAAAAGCTTACTGAGGAACAGGTAGGTTATATTCCAACACAGTTGAAAAGCGAATGATGTATGACATCTGGGCATGCTTTTATTGAACTGTTTTTCGAAGTATAATCCAAGCACTGGGTTTCTGAGAGACCCAAATCACTCTGATAATGCTCAAGATAAGGATTTCCTTATTATACATGTGTCGTTTAGTAAAGTATAAGATCCCCCTTTCCCTCATTTTTCTGCTTTTGCTTGTGAAATTTGTGTCACTTGCTGAGGGGCTTAATTAGTTACTAAATGTCTACAGCCTAAAAGACAGCATAGTCTTGTCAGTAGAGTACTGCATTGGGAGCCAAGGAGTTCGGGTTCAGTTTCTATAGAAGGACCATAATTTAAGAAAGACCAAACTGCATCAGCTGACACAGTGCATTTTTTTAATCCATAAATATAGTAGGATGAACATTTTTATTTCAAAGTAAAGATTTTTATGTCAGTTGCCACACTTGGCAGAAAGAAAATTTTTATTTTAAAGTAAAAGTTTTTGCCTTTGTTGATGTACTTGGTTCTTCTAGTGCTAGCTCCATCACGTATTTTTTTCTTACCATGTGCAAATACATCATTTAACTTTTCTATACTGTAGTTTCTCCAATTGCCATTTAAAAAAATTAATACTTGTAAAGCACCCAGATCTCAACATTAAAATGTGCTTTTATCCTGAGAAGGGCAGCCTGCCCTCAGATGCTTAAAGGAGTTGGGTCTGGAAGGAAGAACATTGTACTTGTTTTATTCTAACCACTATAAAATATCACCAGTGCAGAATTCTAGGGAAAACTTTACTTTGACTTGATGAAAGGTCTGGATTATGAAATATTTTTAAAGGAGGATATTTTAGTACTTTCAAATTAGAATATATATATAAACAGGTAGAATGGTAGATTCAATGTTGGAAGAGACATTAGAGGCCATTTTTACAGATGAGGAATTTGAATGAGAGATGTTATGTGATTTTCCCAAAATTGCATATGTAGTAAATAACAGAGCTAGGATTCCATACCATGTTCTCTGACTTCAAATCCAGCATTCTTTTCACCATAACAAACTGTATCTTAAAATAAAAGTAGATATTAAAATATGAGGCAAAAGTAGGCAGTAAAATAAATTAATGGAGATAATGAAGCCTGTATTACACACTACTGTTAGAAACATGAAAGTCTCTTAATAAGAATTAATTGCTTGATAAAAGACCTAGATATTGAAGGAGTCCTGAATTGCTAAAATCCTTGGTTTGTAAAAGCTACTGATTCCTTTAAAAAATTTAAGGAGAGATTATTTTGACCTTTTAAACTCCCTCAGAATCATGGCTATTAGAGCTAAATTTTTACAGATTTTGAACAAAAGCCCCTAATTTGCTTTTTCAGTTGTGTCCGATTCTTTGTGGCCTCATTTGGAGTTTTCCTGGGAAAGATACTGGAGTGATTTGCCATTTCCTCCTCCAGCTCATTTTGCAAATAAGGAAACTGAGGCAAATAGGATTAAGTGGCTTGCTAAGGGTCACATAGCTATTAAGCATCTGAGACCAGAGTTGAATTCAGGAAGATGAGACTTCCCTGACTCCAGGCCCGGCACTCTATCCACTGTGCTGTGTAGCTGCCCTAATTTGCTGTGTTTACCACTTCTGTAAAGGTGGCTTTGTTAGTAGTTTCCTCCCCTAGATTTACCTTCCTAATTGCTCTGAGTGTGGCTTTTCTCCTTAGGTTGCTTATGCTGCTAGGGATGCCCAAATTTCGGTTGCTCTTTTTCTTCATCTTCTTGGATGTCCTTTGTACATGAATTCAACCAAGAATGAGGATGTGGAAACCAGCTGGGGAAAAGTCTTGATGAAGTGCCAGGACCTTGTGGATCGCCCTTTCCATAGTAAAGGAAACAGGAACATCGTGGGAGAAGAAAGTATTGGGGAAACAGAGTCCCCAAAGAAAGCAAGAAACCAGAAGTCTAGAGCTGGTGGGATGTCTTTGGGCAATCAGCAAGGAAGAGATCCCAGGAAACAAAAACAGAAGCCCCTGGGCAAGGGCTATTCTGCACGGTAATTAGACATGGGTCTTTTTCTTTGGGTTCCTCAAACTAGAGATTAGATGGCATCATTTCTAGCAAAGACAGTGGTGTTTAACATAGAATCTGGACAACAGTCTAAGGATAAGAACAGGAATAAGAGCTGTAGGGTCAAAATTCACTTATATTTTTCCCATTGGTATTTTAGGTTCCTTACAGGATTTCCCATTTACAGGCATACTCTTGTATTACATTGTCCTGAACAACATTATTTGACAATAATGTAATTATAACCTCTGACTAAACTCAGTCCGTTTGGTATAGAGAACTGGCCTTTGAATATGGAAGACCTCGATTCAAGTCCTGCCTCTGATGTGCACTGGCTGCATGAGGGACCCTGGGCAAATCACCTAACCTCTCAGTGTCTCAGGCAACTTAATACAATATATTAGGCAAAACAGTTGTCTCTCTGTATTGGAAGAGGAATTTTCCTTATCAGGATTTCCTAGGACCAATGAAATCACAGGTCTGGTTTAAAAAAAAAAGCTAGCATGTATAGAGCACTTTAAGGTTTGCAAAGTGCTTTATACATTTTTGCTTATTTGATCTTTCCAGTAACCGTGTGAGGTAGGTGCTTTTATAATCCTCAGTTTGCAGATTAATAAACTGAGACTGAGAGAGGTTAATTTGATTTGCCCAGGGTCACAACCCGAGTCAGGTCTTCTTTACTAGAAGTTAAGTGCCCTCTTAGCTATCCCACCAGTCTGCTTTGCAAAAGAAAATGAAATTAAACTAAATAGCACCAAAGTATTGTGGCACTCCGCTATATCATTTGGCAAATTGATAGTATAACAGTGGAACTAAATGTTCCAAAATCACTGTGTCACTTAACCTACGATTTTGTGGAATCAATTAACAATAGGCTCTCCATCACCATCATCATCATGATAGTAATTCTATAATAAGTATAGTTACATTTTACCTACATTATTAACTTATTTTATATTACCTTATATTTATTAAAAATTCTATAATAAACATTTATATAGCTTGTCAGCATTTGCAAAGTGTTCTCTATTTGTCATCTCGTTTGACAAGAGATGTTCATGATACTGGTATCCAGGTGACTTTAATTTGCTTCCTTCTTCTGCCACTTGATTTTGTTGTGACCAACCTCCAATTTCCCATCTTTAAAATACTGAGTGCAATACTTATCCCTCATCTGTCTGCTGTGGAGATAAAGGGACCTATGTTTTTCAGGAGAAAGGCACATGACTTATATTTGTTCTGGGCAGTATCTAACTCCAAACAAATGCTGTTTCCCAGTCAGTAAGAGTTTTCCTGTATAATTTGTATAGCTAATGCAGTGAAATGGCTAATAGGAAATTTGGAGTGGAAATTTGGTCCCCCTCGTATATAGTGCCTTTAGGAATTGAATGATTAATTCAAAACAAGCACTGCAAATCAACCAAAAGTAAATCCACATGATTCTCATTATTTTAGTTTGAGCCCTTTTAATTTGAATTTGCTGTGTTTGGATCTCCTGAATTGAAAAGAAATTATATTTTACCCTGTATGGCAGAACTGTTATTATAGAGGGCTTAATTACTTTACCAGTAAAGCTGTGTTGATACTTATCATTTTTTTTCTTCAGATCTTTCTCCCAACAACCCAGTGTAGCAAAAGTAACACTTTTACTCCATTGTATGTTTACTCTATAGTCTTTCTCTAATCACAATTGAAGAGGACACAAAAGCTAGGAGTCATAGCTAGAACTTGGAATGACAGAGTCAGAATCCCCACCTGACTAGAACCGTGGTGTCAAACTCAGATAGAAACACATCCTTGTGGACTGCATATTGACTTAGAAAACATTATCAATTTTGTAGTATATTTTCATTTGTTTTATTAAACATTTCCCAGTTACATTTTAATCTGATTTGGGATACACAGGATTTTTGTGGGTCAGTGAGTTTGACACGTCTGGGATTGGGCTGAATCTAAGATGAAATTCAATATGAAAGTCTTACACTGATGTTCAAGAAATTGGCTTCAAAAGTACCAAATGGAGGAGGTATGGTTAGCCAGTAGTCTCTCTGAAAAAGATGTAGGGGTTACAGTGGACTGCAAACTTAATATGAAGCATTAGCAGATGTGGCAGAGAAAAAACTCACAAGAGGCATACTGTCCAGAACAGAGTTCTTTTATATTTTTCTTCAGTCAGACCATATCTTAAGTTTAATTTTGGATGCCACATAAGAAGAATATTGGTAAGTTGAAGAGTTGTTCAGAGGAGGGCAATCAGGATAGGGGAGAGCTTCCAGTCCAAGTCATAAGAGGATTAGCCTACATAATAGAAGAGTGGTGGGGTGTGGGTGGGTGTGGGAGGAGACATGATAGACCAGTTAAAGTATTTTAAGGGTTCTCTTATGGAAGAAGGATAAGGCTTGTTCCGTTTTGTCAAGGAAGAATGAGTGGGTAAAAGTTGTAGAGAGGCATATTTGGTCTCAAGGTTAGGAAAAACTTGCAATTAGAGTTGTCCAGAAGTGGAATTGGTGGCTTCAGGAGGCAGTCAGTTCCTTCTCCTTAGAGGTCTTCAAGCCTCAGAGGACAGATGAGCACTTGTCAGGTATTTTATTTTAAGGATTCCACTTGGGTATGAGTTGGACTAGATGACTGCTGCAGTCCCTTCTCTTAAATTCTGTGATTTTGTGATAGTATATAGAAGCAACCCATGTTATTCCTAGCAGTCCATGCAAAAGCAACTAAATGTTTACCTAGAATGTGGTTTTTAGTAGGTGCCTTTTTTTGTTCTTTCTTGCAGAAAATCTCCCCTCTATGATAATTGCTTCTTACATGCTCCTGATGGACAACCCCTTTGCACTTGTGATAGAAGGAAAGCTCAGTGGTATCTAGACAAAGGCATTGGAGGTAGGAGATCCAGGTGCTGAGTCGGTACATAACCCAGGAATGCGGTGTGGGGCACGGGGATGGTCCTGAGTCACATTGTTGAAAAATGAGGAAGGAAAAAGAAATAGGGAGATATATACAGAGGGGTCCTGAAATAATTGAAGGAATTGCTAATGTGGGCTTACTTCTGTCCATCTTGTTTAGCTATATTCTTTTTGGTCCTTGTTGCTTGTTTTATGTGAACCTGTCCTTAAGAGTTATGAAAAGTTTATTTGACCTTATGATATCTCATCTGGAAAAACTGACTGAAGCACCTGAAGAGGAGTGTTAGTTGTTAGTTAATGGATAGTTGTGGAACGCCTGACTTCTGTAGAGTAAGGTCCAGGCAACTTCAGTAAGAAAATATCCCTGGAAATGGGCAGGCCTGGAACTTCAGAACCAGATATGGGCTCCTGGCTACCTTCAGGGATATGATCTTTTATGTCTTGTGCTTTTCACGGGGCAATGAATCAGCACAGTGTGTCAAGGACTGTGTTAAATGATAGGGATACAGAGAAAAAGGAGGGGTGGTCCCTGCTCTGCAGGGGCTTGTGCCTGTGAGTACATAGGGTATGTTAATCAGCAAGTCAGATGGCAGTGCCTAGGAATCCGAAGGGTGTCATGGTAGTGCCGATGGTAATGCAGGTAATTGAATTCTAAAGCTTTTTTCCTCTCTCTTTTTGAAGAGCTGGTGAGTGAAGATCCTTTTGTGGTCAAGTTGCAATTTGAGCCATCAGGACGGCCTGAATCTCCAAAAGATTATTATCTGATGATTAAGGAGAACCTTTGTGTAGTCTGTGGCAAGAGAGAATCCTATATACGGTGAGTCTGGGACCTCCTGGGCCATGTGCTTCTGATCACCAGATGAAGTCAGAAGTGTGTAGTAGGAGTGCAGACTTGTGACCCTTTCCCCAAGATAGCTGATGATAATCTTGGCCCGCTGACATCCAGATCTCTATAGGAAACTCCCTGCATCTGGGGAGCTAGCTAGCTCCTGACTCATGTTGATGTCACTTTTCTTGAGTAGAAGGCTTCCACCATGGGGAAAGAAGTCTTTACTATTGGAATTAGATTAGCCATATTCCTTAAGGTTCCCTTCATTCAGGAAAGAAATAATGGATAGCTTCCCTCTGTATTGTCCTCTTCCTCTAATCCTTTTCATCTGCCTCTCTTTGGATTGATCCTGAGAATATTTGGAGTTTTGAATTTTGTTTTCAAAAAGGTTTTCCACATTACTTTAGTGTATTCTTGGTGGTATGTCTTTTGGGGTTAGAGTTTTTATATATCCTTTGGCAATGAAGTTGAGTCTGGCCATCAAAAGATGTTGCTTCTTAGCTTTGTGATATGATCCTCCACAAATCATTTTCACCCTACCTGAAAGCTGGTACAAAAATTTGGGGCTATTACAGAATTTCTCAAAAGATAGTTGATCTTAGAAAATAACAGTGAATCTTAATGAATGAGTAAAATCTTCCCCAGATGACAGAAACTTACTTTTTTGAAGACACCAGGGTATAATTGCTTCATAGACTCTTAAAGTTAAGAGAGATATTGGAGTTTGAATTCCATCTCTGTTTGGAGCATGAATTCCCCATATGATATCACCACCATGCAGTCTTCACCTCCATTGATATGGGGCATGTACCAATTCATGAAGTAGCCTGTTGAGTTTTGAAACAATGCCAATCATGAGCCCAGATCTTCCCCCATGTAACTTCTGCCCATTAGTTCAAGTTCTGCCCTCTGGGGCTAAGCAGTCAGGTATTCTCTTTTCCAGGAAGAGATTTACGGTGTGGTGCTCTGAAAAAAAGTGATTTTTAAAAAGGAAACTCAAGATGCGGGTGTTAGCCTTGTAGTATGTTCCACATAGCTATATCTGGCCACTGGACCCAGATGGCTCCGGAGGGAAAAGTAAAGCTGGCGACTTTGCACAGCCCTCCCTCACTTCAATCCAGCTCACTTGCAAGTCATGGTGTCATCTTCCTGAGGTCTTGGTCCTCTCTGAGAACGAAGGGCAAACCACAACCACAGCATACCATAGAGCTTCTCACCTTTCTTCCCTAAATGTCAAAGGCCATTAGAGAACATCGTTATTCCCCAAGTGTCTTCTCTAATTCAGCCAGCATTTATTAAGTGCACACAAGGCACCGTGTTTAGCCAGTGGGGATAAAAACACCCGGAAAACCAGTCAGCCTCTGCTCTCAAGGAGCTATTTTGTCACTGGCCTATATAGCTCTCCTATAATTAATGAATGAAGTCAGAGAGGATGTTATTTATAATTTAGGACCAACCTGCTGGTAGGGTAGATATAATTATATCTGAAATTTTAGGGGCAGCTAGGTGGCACAATGGATAGAGCACCGGCCCTGGAGTCAGGAGGACCTGAGTTCAAATCTGGTCTCAGACCAGAGACTTGACGCTACTAGGTGTGTGATCTTGGGCAAGTCACTTAATCCCAATTGCTTTGCCGAAAAAAAAAATTTACAATATATTAAAATTTGCAAAACGTTTAACATAATCATCTCATTCTTCTCCCTCACAATCCCGTGCTGTGAGGTAAATGCTACAGACATCATCCTTATGTTACAGATGAGGCAAGTGCCTTGAGCATAGTTGCCTAGTTACTTGATGTCAGTCAGGATCTGAATCCAGGTCTTCCTGGTTCCAAGTCTGTTTCTCTCTTTTCCACAACCCCATACTGGTTCTAGACATGTTGAGTAGCAGTTTGTTGCCTCCATTAGGTGAATTGCCCAGGGCCTCTTTGTGAGATAGTCAGAGCTCAGAATAGTGTCCATTCCTCTAGATTGTCTTTGATCCCAGCTACAAATGAGGAAATCCAGGATCCTGGCATTGTAGTGTTCCACATATCAATGGTGGATGTGTTTGGGAATGGGGGCCTCATTTCAGGAAGAATGTAGTTCCCCATGAGTACCGGAGACACTTCCCCATTCAGATGAAGGACCACAACTCCCATGATGTGTTGCTTCTGTGTACCTCCTGCCATGCCATTTCGAATTACTACGACAACAACTTCAAGCAACAGTGGCTGGAGAGTGTGGGGCCCCCCTTGGCTCTGAGGAGGGGTTACGCTTGCTGGAAGATCCAGTCCGCCGTCAAGTGCGCTCTGGGGCCAGGGCCCTGCTCAACGCCGAGAACCTGCCTGCTTACCGCAAAGAAGAACTCCTACAGGGGATCAGGGAGTTTTTTAACACGGAGGTTGTCACGACCTGATACTTCAGAAAGCAGCAAGTTTGGAGACCAGGTACCATTTAACATTTAAAGTTGTGATCAGATGGGGGAAGCACTTTCTCAAAGTCAACCCTTATTACTTAAACCTGCTCTAATTTGCCTTAAACTATAAGGGAAAGGGAATTATCCACACAAGCACATGTAGATTACACCGAATATGTGTGTCTAGATGCTCACACTATTATCTTATACTATGAAGAGAACCATTATTATAGCTCATATGAGGCTGGAATAGATGCTGGATTTTGAGGATCTCTTTTCCATAGGACCGCCATGCTTCCAAAGAGGCACCACACGGCACCATGAGAATCTTGTCTACTTGTACCTGATCATGTTGTTGACTTAGATGAGATTTCAAATAAACAAGAATTTACTTAGGTTTTTTTTTATTTGTAGATCTTAGAAGTATTTCAGTTGGTACAGTAGGTCAAATTAAGTCGAAATTCTTCCAGGTTAGTTACTGGCTTTCCCTTCTGAGTCGTATTGTTCAGTACCACCAAATATTTAAAATTATTACATTTCTAAGCCTAATGATGCTTCTGCTTGTTTTTTAGTGTTTCCTTTTTTCTTTTGCTGCTTGTTGTTATTATTTCCTCAAATAATAACATCTTACATCTACACAGTCCTTTTTCTGTTGATGTTTCAGTGTTTTTTCATCTATTGTCTGATTTTTAAAAATTTTCACAACAACCTATAAATAGCTTATGATGGCATTACCATTGTATGGATAGATAAGGAAAGGCATTTAGAGCTGAGGTGACTTAACCAGGTGATAGAATATAGCACAGCTACTGGGACTGAATCAGAGCTACTGAGAATGAGGGAGCCGCCCTCCGTCACTTCTGAAGAGGTGGAGTACTTTGGTTGTGGGATGTTGACAGCCTTGGTTGTTGGTTGCGCTCAAATACTTTCTCCACCTCCCCCTCTCTTTTTCTGTTACAGTGGATGGCTCTCTGGGGAGGGGAGAGAGGAAGAGGATGTATTTGGAAATGAAGGAGATGAAAAAACAAAAGATGTCAACAAAAATTTTAAAATCATTGAATGCTTTTGTTTTTCCATAGAGATAAATAGGATGAAGAACAGGCTTCTTTTACTGTTTATGACATGTTCCATCATAAAAATTTCTTCCGTCTATAGACTTGTCCCCCAAATTCATCTTACTGGGCTTGGATGGTCAAGATATTTACAGTTCAGAAGAACAGCTGTTTGAGAAAAGACAGAAATGATTTAGCGGGTAGCTTTGAAAGAGACAGAACAAAATATCTACAGAAACTGTGAGGACTTTGATTTTTCCTAGACTTGCGAATTGAAGGAGTGTCTTGCTTGAGGAATAGCAAGGAGATTAGTGCTGCTGGGTGAGCGGTATGTTTGGAGTGGGCTGGGGAGGGAATTTTGTATAACGTTTGGGAGTCTGCAGGGGAGGCACTGTATTTTGGGTTTGAGAGTGCTTCTTTGGGGAATTCTTTTGAAGGAAATGGAAACCCTTCTCAGGTAGCACTTCATTAATCTTTAAGACATTCTTGTAAGGTAGGAAAGTGGCAGGGATTATTCTCTCCATTAAGTAGCACCTGCTGTGATCAAAATGCTTCTTATGTATACGATTTATGAACCTGTATCTGAGGAAGAAGGCCATATAGAAGTGGGCCATAATTTTGTCCCCTGCATAGGCTACTTTCTTGTCCAAAGTAGATTCTCAGCAAGGTATCTGTAGGCAGGATAACAGCTCATAGAGTATTGTCCAGAATGGATAGACTATGGGGCTGGTGGGCTGGCATCTTCCTGGTCTGAAAATCCACTGCAGAATGAAGATAAACATTTTTATTAAAAAGCATAATTTATTTCTAAAAGTTTTATTGATCTCTTTTGTTTTTATGTCACTTTGATTTCCAAATATATCTCATTTCCCTCCCCTTCCCAGAGAATTGTCCCTTATAACAAAGAATAAAAAAAGAGGAAAATAAAAGCAGTTTCAGTAAAACTGACTGACACACTGCCCAGGTTTCACCCTCCAGTCCAACCTCTGGTTAACATGGTACCCTAGCATGCTAGCTTTGTGCCTTGTGTCTTGGCAGGATTGCCAATGAGAGCTATGTTCCCCACGGGCTGAAGGTGGTACAGTGCCATGCAAAAGGTGGGCTGCGCTCCCTCATGCAGCTGGAGAGTCGCTGGCGCCAGCACTTCTTGGACTCCATGAAACCCAAGCATCTGCCCCAGCAATGGTCGGTCAACCATAATCATCGAAATCTGCTCCGGAAACATGGGGATAATCTTCTGGTGGAGCTGGCAGGTTAGCTTCTCTCCTGTCAAGAGACAGAGGGGACAGGAAGAGACCTTGGGACTGTGTGGGGGAGTTGGGGAGGAAGGTGTCTTCTCCTTTTCTCCGTCCTAATGCCCCATTTTGGGGCAGCACTAAATATCCGAGCTTCCTCTGGTGAAACTCAGAAAAATTAATCTGCACCTCTTATGAGCCAGCTGCTGTGGCTGAGCAGGGCTTCCTAAGGATGGCGGGAGGGTTTTTGAATACTCGTTGGGCGAGGTCAATCTTGTCTTTTCTTGGCTCTTATGTTAGTGGACAAGGGAGGCTTTTATTTGAATTTTTCTTGCCTTCTTCTTACCTCCTGGAGACAAGAAATAGAGAATGCGGGACACCTGCCCGTAGTTTTGAATCCATTTATTCCCAGTCTGGTTCCTTTGGTCCTTATACAGAGGGGGCTGTCAGGTATAGAAAGTTGATGACTTCACAACTGAAAGGGAAGAAAAACCTTTTCCTAAGGGATACAGATTCATTGTCTCCAATTCAGTCTTGAAATCAAGCAGCCCATTCTGAATGGGTCTTATGTGACCCCTCAGTGTGCCATAGATCAAAATAGTAGCTTCTTGTAAACTTATTCCATCTTGGTGCTAGAAGGGAATTATTCTTTGGCCAGAAGTTTTTCACTTGGGAGAACAGGAAGGAGGGGTAAGAGTCATGGGTATGGCTCCTTGCAGACATCAGGAAATAACCTAAATACTTTTCTCTGCTTTTCTTATTCTGCTGTTCCCTGCATGCATGACCCAGCCAGGTTTATGATGCAGCCCTTTTCTGGTAGAGAGACTTCCCCTTTTAGGATCAAGGCACGAAGTTCCTGCATCAGTCCTCATCCTTCACCCCCCCCCCACCCCCCACCTGCAACATTGACGTCTTTTTAACCTAACTTATCTCTAAAGCTGTTTGGTCAGGCAGCAAATGTTTAGAACCCTAAAATGACTTCATGTGATACGGATAAGTGTTCAAAATACAACTGATTAATGACTAGATAGTTTTCTAATTTGCCAAGAAAGCTTGTTGCGTGCTTCACTGGCTCCCAGCAAGCTTAGAAAGAAATATGTGACCAGCATCCTACAAAAAATATGATTTTGTGATTGTCTTCATGTTGGTGATGGTTGCTTTAACATTGACAAATAAAACTTTTTCTAAATTTAAGGCTAATAGAACATAGATTTCTTAATTTTTAAAAAGTTTGTAAGTAAATTTCAGGGGGGTAGGGGAGTTTGAAATCCAGCCCCCAAGACGTTCACCACAACTGCATGTGTACATATACAACCACTGCTTTAATAGCATTCTTTCCCAAAGTGCTCACACTTAACTGGATATTTGCATATAAACAAATGCATGTTCATTTTCCCTTTGTATTTCTGCCTATTTCTGAACACATTCTTTAGCCATAAGAAGCCAAGCAGGCACTTCCAGGGCCCTGAATGGGAAAGCCTTGAAAAAGGATAGTGTCCATCACTCTGACACTAGCGTGGTTAACCAAATAAATTACTCAGATCCTCGTTACAGTGGGCATATTGTCTTAGATGAGTGTATGGAGAAGAAGGGAATTGGGGCAGAAGTGATAATTGAAGGTAGCGGGGAACAATGGGGAGATGGAATGAATTTGTGTTCCTTACCTCCAGAAGGGATTGCTCCTAGCCATAGGGAGAGAGAAAAGCTAGGTCTGTATCCTATACGACCTCTTTTCTTCAGGACGATGGTAATTACATGGATTTGCAGCCCTGATTCAGTAAGTCTATCCTGAGTCACCTTAGCAACCTGTCATTCAGATTGACATTCCATCACTCCTGCTTCCATGACCAAACCAAGTCCTCCATGAAACAGACCAGGACTTCTTACCTAGCCCACACATTTTCCACACCGACAGAAAAAAAAAACACTTAATGGGGAATTGTCTCCTTGGTCACCATTTTTGTGGATTCGGAGCTTTTCCTTCTCTCCCCTTTATATTTTGTCTTTCCTCCCATCCCTCTACCTCTTCCCATTTTCATGGCTTTTGAAATTTTGATTTTTGCTTTTAAATAAAGGACAAAGCTAGGTTCTCTTTGACAGAAGCAATGACTAATTTTCCATTGTGGGGTCAGAATAGTATAACACCAATAGGTTAGTAACTGTTCAGGAATATAGCACTCATAATTATTTATCTTTATTCATGTCACAGACAGAGTATCAGATGGCAAAACCTGTTCCACAAGAAATAGCCATTTTAATCCATTCCTGATTTTAGGCTTTATGTACCTAACAAGTACCTAACAAACTTTTCATTCAGTTTCCTGTGAGCATATCTTATTTTCTTGGTTCTGATTTTGGTTTGCCATTTATTTTCTTCTTATGATTTATTTCCCATTGCCTCCCACTTTATTAAGAGATTCAGGAGAAGCCCCAGATTTTTAATTACTTGTGTCATGCCTAAATATGGCTCATTTGTTCTAGTAAAAATCTAAAAATGAAATGAGAAGATTTATATAAAGCATTTTATTAACCTTACAGCACTATACAAATGGGCACTATTTTTATTATTACTACTACTAGTAGTGGTGGTGGTAGTAAATAAGAAAAATAGGGTTGAATTTGGGTTCATTGCTTCAATAGCTATTATGTTGATTTGTAACATCATTAAATGTAATGATGTTACATTACATGCATTTACATTACTCCAATAAATTTACAGTATTTCATTTAGTCATTATTCATAAAATTACAGGCTTTTAGAGGTGGAAGTTGTCTTAGCCCAGTTCATACCTAAATAGGATGACCCTTTACATAGTCCCTGATGAAGTCATCCAGCCTCTACTTGAAGACCTCCAGTGATGGGGGTTCACTACCTCATGAGGCATTTACACTTTTAGACAAACCTAATTTTTTGGAAGTTTTCCTCCTCATTTCTAAGAGAAATCTACCTCTCTGAAGGCTCTAAGCTTCAGTTTTGTTGTGTGTAAAATGGAGAAACAGACTCGGATTGTGACTTTGGCCATGGTCACGTTTCCAGTAGATGTAAGCTGGGACTTGAACCTGTACGTCCTGACTCCAGAGTACAATGCTCTTTACATTGCACTAGACCAGTGTAATTTGAGGGCTGCTAGAAGGTAATACAGATGCTCCTATTACTCACTTCTTTGGGTTAAGACATTGGAAATCTCTATTTAAATGCATTTTGTTTTCCTGGCATGATAGCACACCACTTCCCTATCACTCACCCCAATATCTTAGGAAGAATTTGTTTATCCAACTATCCAAGGACTGTGTAGGCTGTAATCGGGCATGGGGCAGGTTAGTTTTGCTGGAGTGCAGAGGAAGGAAAATCTAGATTGCAGGGACTTGGGCATTTAAGGGGCAGTCAGGTAAAACTGTGAGCCTCTATAGAGCTAGGGAACGAGATTGGTAGTTGTGGTGAAGAGAGTTGTCGAAAAAGAAGTGAGGGGAAATGAAAAAGATTAGAGTTATGTTGACTTGTGAGTTTTGCAGTTTTCCCAGGGCTAGGCCTAACAGGAAGTCTCGGTGTAACTGTGGATAATCTCCCAAGTGGATAGTACTTTTAGTGATAATTGAAACGTTACAATGATATTAGCTAACATTTATATAGCGCTTACTGTGTGCCAAGAATTTTACAAATGTTATCTCATTGGATCCTCACAACAACCCTTTAAGGGTAGGTGTTGTTATCTCCATTTTACAGATGAGAAAACTGAGGCAAAGGGAAGTTAATCGACTTGCCCAGGGTCGCAGCTAGTGAGTGTCTGAGGCCAACTTTGAACTCATATTTTCCTTACTCTAGGTCCAGAGCTCTATCCACTGTATCATTCAGCTTCCCCAATCCATCAATATAAGTCAGTTGGAGAATCATTCATTCAGTCAGTCAATAAGCATTTATCAAGCACTTACTGTGTGCCAAGAATGAGACAGAGTCCAGTTTGTGGGTTGATAAATCAGGTTGTTCCCTCTGTCTGCTTTCATTTATTCAGCGAGTACTTATTAAGTACCTGCTGTATACCAGGGACATTGGTAGGCTCTGAGGATACAAAGTCAGAAAAAAAAAACCAATTCCTAATATAGCATGTACATTTGTATAAAACAAATACAAAATACAGGTATTCAAATAAAGGTGGTTGGGGGAAGGCATGCACTAGCTGTTGGGGGATCAGGGAAGACTTCATGTAGGAAGAAGGTAGAGTCTTAAAGAAAAAGAGATTTTATGGGGCAGAGGTAGGGAGTGTATTTGCAGCTATGAGGAGTAGACAGGGCGAAGGCACATAAGACAGTGCTATTTGTGAGGAACAGAAAGGCAGTTTGGCTGGATCATAGAGTGTAGGTAAAGGAAATGGAATAATGGGTTATGAGAAGTTGAAGGAAAAAATATTAACATTGTTCTCCGCATTTAGACACCAGTCTGCCAGAAACTATTTTCATTTACTATTATTCTAGTATCTAAACATATCTCTCGTAGAGAGAGATGGCCAAACTGGTGTAATCCCATGTCAGCTACCCCACCCCTGATGCCCTCAGACAAGACTGCCCCAAGAAGATTGAGGCACCATTTATAGGAACCTTGAACAAGGAAAAGATCATAAGGGTTAAAATAGTTTGGGAGTTAACATTCCAAAACAAGAGTTACTGCTCTACTCCTTCTTTGACTTAAGGGATGGAAAGAAAGGACCACCTTCCTTCCATCATTATCAAATATCACAATCTCTTTGGAATAACCAAAGAAGGCACTTCTGATGCCTGGGGGTTCATTCACAAGAGTTAAGATTAATTATCTTTCTTAATCCATTTTCCTAAGAAAGGCCTATTGTTCTCTACCGAATCCATTTTCAAACAGGGAATTCTGGAAAGGACTTTTTGACCAGAGAAAATACTATTTATATTTTCAGTTTTGCTAAAAAGAAAGGTTTTTTGTTTTTGTTTTTTAATATGATTCCACAAAGGCTAGAAAGATAGATTGGGGCCAACTTGTTATGGGCTTTCAAAGGTGTACAGAAAGTCTTTGGACAGTTCAGGGAAAATGGAACGGGTTCCCTTGCTGACAACCCCAAGTTTGTTTTTCTTCCATGGGTGTGTTCAGCCCTTTTGGCAGTAGCATATGACTCAAGGCCTGTGTGTCTTCCTGGGCTTAAAAATGGGACTCACTGGAATGTCTAGGAGTTACCCAGTTAGCAGACTTTTGGGGAAGTCCAAGCCTCAAGGTAGTTCTATAAGGCTAGGTTCCTGTATTCTTCTCTGGGGTAAAAGTGGGATATATCAAGGTGTTGGGGGAATTGGTGTGTCTAACAAACCCCAAATTCATTTTCTTTTTGAAAATAGTCCAAACCACAGGATAGTCCTCTAATCCTGGATGACTATATAAGACCCTGGGGAAAGAAGGGATTCCTTAGGAAAAAAGAATTATATCAATTGTATATGGGGAGGGGAAAGAGGGAGGGAATAAGCATTTATTATGTGCCAGGCTTTTATTGTGCAAAATGCTGTAACAAATATTATCTTGTTTGGTCCTTACAACAATGCTACAAGGTAGGTACCATTATTATCTCCATTTTACCGTGGAGGGAACTGGGGCAAATAAAGGTTAAATGACTTCCACACAGCTACTAAGTGTCTGAAGCCGGATTTGAACTCGGGTCTTCTTGACTCCAGATTCGGTGCTCTTATCTGCTGTACCACCAACTGCCTTCTGTGACCTACTGTTAATTGTTTATGCATTTTATGAATTTCTTTGGGATGAAATAAAGGCTACTCTGTACCAATAAAAAAAAATAAGAGCCATACAAAGGAGTTTGTTTTTTTCTTGTCAAAATAACTATGGAAATGAGTCCAGTCAGCAGGACAGGGTGTGGTAACTTGCTTCATCTTGGGATGGCTGACCAATCTGAAGGACCCTGATCCCATGTGAATAGACCTTTTTATGCCCTTAGATGACCAGGATGAAGGCATAGTCAATAGTGTCAAATATAGTAAAGGTGTCAAGAAGGATGAGGTCTAAGAAAAGAACATCAAATTTGGCAGTTAAATAATCATTGGTTAACTGGAGAAAGCAGTTTCAGTTGAGTTATGAGATTGGAAGCCAGATTGTAAAGGGATGAGAAGTAAGAAAGATAGAAACGAACATTTATTAAGCACCTAGTATGTACTATGTACTGTGCTCAGCACTT